CTAGATATAGGTCATCAGTGTGTGTACCTGAGTGCTTGTGTGCATTTTTCGTGTCTGTATGAAGGTGATTGGTGATATGTTTGACCACGGGAGATACTAGCCAACAAATACATGAACATCGTAGTACCCTGTGATTAGATTGGAGTGTTCTTTTCGCGATTCAAATAAAAAAAGGGAAGCGGTTCATTTTCACCAGCAGTTATGACTTAAGCCGGACACTGCCCAAAAGCATGAGACAATGTGGGTGGGGATGAGTAAGAGGATGAGTCATGGGTTTTAAGCATATGAGGAGGAAGATTCCCAGGCACTGGCATGGGCATGAACATCATCTGCTCTAAATCCTCGAATATGGCGTAATCCAAAATTGGAACTGAACGTTCTTACACAGCCAAACAGTAATTTTGATCGGAGTGTCAGGGAGACTTTGTGGAACTTATCTAGTCCCGTCTACTTTACCATTGTATTCGTGATTTCCATCATTAGACTATCGGCTGGATACATTCCCAAACGTGGGAAATCACGAATACTATGGCAGAGGATACGGGACTAGGTACGTTCCACAAAGTCTCCCTGAAACTCCTATCAAGTTGCTAAAAACATGATCGAACCAACACTATAAAGCTGAAGGACACTGCGACCAAGCAAATGGTCACGTTATCTTGGTATTCATATCTCAGTCATTTTGATGCTTAACAGTGGCCAATTAACAAGTGGATAGGAAAAAAAAGCGGGGGCAGAATGCAGGTCAAAGGCCCTACAGACGGGATCTAGTACCGTTGGTGGAGATGATTACGCTTCACTGAACCCACTTCTAGCGATGCCCTCTTAGGCGAAATTGGAGGAAGCGAGAGCATAGAATTGTGTGAATAAGTGGATGGGCCACACTAGAAGGCAGAATAAAAAATAGGGGTGAGGAGTGATGCCACAACGGTTGGATAGAAAATTGGTTAAGGAAATTTTCTCCACTTGTCACTGATAGGTTGTAATCCTATGCTTACGATGGCGCCACTCACTGACGATGCCGGCGAAATGTTTGCGAATGTACCCAGCCAATGGTCCAATGCTGGAAATCACGAATACTATGGCAGAGGACATGGGATTAGGTCCGTTCCACAACGTTTACCTGACACTCCGCGGTACAACCAACACAATAAGGATTTAAGTTTAGGAAAGTAATTTCTAACTCATATATCAGGTAGCTAGCCACTTTTGTACATTTATGACAGGGGCTTTGTGACACTTGTGCATGATTCTCGTGGGTATATGATTTTTAAACTGAAGCTAGATTCTAAATTAGGTGCTAAAGGCTAAAAAGGCGTTTCTTTACTTCTTTTCTTGATCGCATCTCAGTGTATCGATGCTTAGCCATATACACATGCATCTTTGTGCCATTCCATACTCATTCTACACCCTTTAAACGCCACATTTTCTTAGTGCCTTTGATGAAGTTATATTTAGCTAGTGCTTTCCTACTTTCTCAAAGATCTTCTGTAGAATGACGACTGACTTTACATGCGTCTCAGCGAATCAGGGCTTGTCACTTAAATGACAATGGGATTTATTACTATCCAGTAAGACCAAATTAACCAAATTTCATCGTTTAGGACTCCGCTAGGATGGGCTTGTAATAAGTTTGCATTGAAGATAAATGTTGGACGGAAATGCATTATACAAGTTATGACATCGAAAACTAGAGAACCCTTGTATTATATTCATAAAAGACCTTATTTATTTTCATCTCCTATGCCCTTATAACTTTTCTCGTTTCTCTTTTTTCCTTATTTATAAATATGCTTGTCAAATAAATGTGTTATTAAGCTGTATTTGTTCTTCAGCTAACCTATTTACTGTAAATTAGAGGAGGGAGGCCTCCGGATTCATCCCATATATATCATTTTAAGATCAGTTATCTCATCCTTCACTTTTGCGACTGAGGGTGCTTATAATACCTTATTTGAATCAGTCTCATCTATTCATTCACACCTGTTTAGTGTCCTATTAAGTCAACTTGGAGCCTTATCCCCTTTTTACTCCCAATTCGTATTTACTCATTTTCGTCGCCTTACGTGTTATCACAATCGATCTCAAGAAGCAATCTTATCCTAAAATTTTCAAGATTGTAATTGCTTAAAATATGCTCTGGCTATATTAACTGACACGATTTGCTAAGTAGTGTAGCCACATGGAAGAAACACCACGATTAAATTCTACATAGAAGCGCAGCGTGGAAGTGCCATGCTAAAATGAACCTGAGCCTGGAAAAATCTTCTTGTTACTGCGTAACAAATTAGGTCATTTAGAGGCAGCTGCTGGGAATTTTATGTCAATGCTTGGCGAGTGCTTTCTTCTTTTCACGGAGGTCCGACTATCTTTGTCTTAGCGGAAGTGCGATGAGCAAGAATTTGCTCATTTTTCGTATGTAAGCAGAGTTTAGAGACTACCAGTAATTGGGACTACCATTCCTTCATTACCTTAAACGAAATAAGATGAATACATCTCATAGTATATATAATATTTATTATATTCCACTATTTTTATAGCTTTGTTTCGGTTCATGTTGCAAAATTGATGTCTGCTTCACATTCACTATTTTGTGCTTATGGATATGATTTAAACTAACGGAGATAATCATAGATTTGAAAACAAAGATGTTGGATCTCTTTTGGTCACACTTTGCTTTTGCTTTACATAAGTAATATTACCTGATTTTCTCAGCCTAGTCGTGTTTCTATAGATGCACTTTGTCCGAAGTCCTCTGCTATGGCTATTATGATAATTACCAGTGCCAGACCTAGGACTCGGTAGAGTCCCAGACATTTCGCCATCATCGTTAGGGAGTTTTGCCAGTCTTGTCACTAAACTACTGTTCGTCAAAGAGACAAGTGAATTCAATCCTCTAACTAACCTTGTGCCGAACGGTTGTGTCTTCACTCCGCTTGGTTGATACATCCATCTGCTCCCTATTCTCGTATCCCACTCCCTCGTTATTACAACTTCTGAGTTGTTTTTATTTGGCTACTCTACGTTTATTTTTGCCAGTCTAGTATGGTGTTGTGAGACCTGCTTATTTACTTTGACCCCCTCTTGATTTGCCGTAATTGCTAGTCCAACTTATACCTCCTATCCGAATATCCCTCATGGCTCCAGAGATACGTTTCTTATCTTGAATAAAACATACTGTGACTAGAACTAAGTGGTTCAGTCAATTAGTATGATAAGAAACGGATATCCGGGCCACGAGAGAGATTCGGACAGGAGGTCCAAGTCGGACCAGCAATTCCACCAAATCCAGAGGAAGGGCCAAGGTACACAAGCAGATGTATAGAGTAGTCGAATAAAAACATGTTAGAAGTTGTAATAACAAGGAAGTGAGGTATGAAGATACATTGTAAATTAATCTACCAGGCAGAAGTGCTGGCACAACCGTTCGGCAGACTTCGTCAAAAGATTGACTTTATTTATCTCTGACGAATTGTAGCTAAGACTGGTATTACTTACTGACGATGCCGGCGGAACGTCTGGGAACTTAACAAGTCCAGAGTCAGACGCTGGGATGTATCATAATTATTATTGCTGACGATTTCGGACAAGGTGTATTCAACTAAGTCGACCTGACAACACGTCTAACTTGCGAAAACGAGTTAAAACTATTTAGAACAGAGTTAATGATTTATGAACTTTTGATTTCTTTATCCACTCATTATCCTGAAGCGCAGTTACTGCATTTCCGTTGACCATTACTCATATGAGTATTATTATAAATATTATAATCAGAACAAGATAAGAGGGTTAAGTGACTCATGTGAATAGCTTCGTTGCCAGGTACTTTGACTTTCAGGTCTAAGTCGTACCTTGTTGCTTTACCATCAGATCCTCATGCAACGAAATACGACAATTCGTCTGACATGGAACCCCTTCGAAGCCCGAGCACCCTTGATTCAACGCTTACTCTGGATTGTACAAAGGCCAATGGGACAGTCTCTCGTATAAACGACAGTCATTCAGTGGCAATAACTTCGGCTCGGTCCATGAATGGCGCGGAGATATGTTCTTCTAACCGGCTCGATACGCGCAATGTCGCAAGTCGTTTTCCTTTGGATGATAATGCCGTTTATAACCGTAGCCCTCTCAGTGTCTGGCGAGATGATACTTTTGCTGCTTCTTCAGTCTCGGATGGTCTTAGATGGTTTAAAGATGGCGTCGATCGAACTTCCGAGATGAGATTTTCTGATGATTGGTCAGAGAACCCGATTCGATCAGTCTACTTAACACTGCACAACTTCTATCGACAGGTACGTACTAGATAGTAATCTGATCCATTTATATTCATATAGTATTTTATTTTTGAAGTTTTCGGACTAGAGTGAGTTTATTCGGTGACTTTAGATAGGCTTTCTTAAGTGAGTATGTTCAGGGAATAACCTTTTTTGCTTTTAGTTACATGATTCATATTTACAGTTGATAAGTGCGAGCTACATGTCTTCGAATCCAGCCCTGAATACCTATTGATAATCTTATTCTAAGCTACTGCTAAAGAGTTATTGATATTTTGCCCTCATTCCGCAGATAATTTTATATAGAATCTGATATTTTGGCTGTTCTGATCTGTATAGTTATTCTTAATACCCATATTCTTCTCGAGTTGACTTTCCCTTCTTATAAAAAAGTATTAGAGAAAGTGGTTTGTAAGTTATTCTTGTCGGGCGGCCGATTCTTGTTGTTATGCAATGTTTCGATATTACTATCGAGTTCATGTTGGTACGGTCCACGAGGTGTTCTCCAGTTTCGGTGAAAATCGGCTAAACTTTTGTTTGCTATACGAAAGACATCATCGAAGCTGCTTTCCATTCTTACAAAGACTTCAGGCTAAGCCAAGAATAGCAGACCGCTTCTTTTTATAGGCTACATCTACTTAACTAACATGAAGA